TAACTAAACAACAAAAAAAAACACATGAGTAAAAATTAAAGAACATGTTCAAATAATTTTAAGAAACTATAAAATAAATAATAAATTTTTTTTTTTTTAAATAATTAACTTGTTCACACACTAAAAAAAAAAATATATATATATATATATATTTATATGCATAAAATTTAGTTAAAAAAAAAAAAAACATTATACCCTTGTCAATGGGTTCAGGGTATAATAATATTTGTATTATTTAAAAAAAACTATGAGTAAAATATTCTTCGAATAATCAGTTTCTGAAGATTTGCTGTTGGGCAGCAGCGGAACGTTTGGCGACTGCTCCAGCCGCTTGCCAATGGCGTTGTGGCAGATCTCGCTGGGGCTCTGCTGCGCGCAGCTGACGCTGCCGACGCTGCCGACGCTGCCGCTGGCGCTGACGCTTGTGAATGTGACGGTGTCGCGTCTTCTTCTTCTTTTGTCTGCGCAACTTACCATTGGATCTGGTTCTAGACTTGGATGCGTTCCTGTGCCGCTTAGTGACGCGCTTCTGGGCGCCGCCATTGTCCAGCATTTGACTTGTGGGCAAAGTGGGCGCAGGCAGATCCTCCGTATTCTCTAGATTGCGCCAGCGTCGCGTGCTGGTGCCATTGTTGTTTGTGGTTGTTGTTGTGGTTGTCGTTGTGGTTGGCGTCGTGGTGGTGGAAAAGGTGGGACTTGGCTGTGGCACTACAATTATATTATCCCTGGGCGGCTCCTGCGGGAATAGGCCGCGCCACAGCATGAACTTCTTGAACAGATCTCGTCCGCTGCCGTTGTCAGCTGTGGCATCGGACTGACCAGCGCTGCGACCCATTGTCTGCGGTAGACGGTAGCCTGCGAAAAGCATAAAATACAATTGGAACTAGCTGGGTGAATAAGTGTAGCCTATGCCGCACCAGTTCGTGTTGCCTCAGTGCCAGCCACGTGTGGGTGAAGCAGCAGCATATGCTGCAGGAAGAGATTGCCCAGCAGCAGCGTGACTGCTCCAGCTCCTGCTGCAGCGCAAGCTCCAGCTCTGGCTCGAGCTTTTGTTGGCATCGCCATCGTCTTTGGATTCTATCGCTGAGTTCTGTGCGAATGCTCGGCTGAGGAACGACTCTTTTATAGATGAGCGGGATGCAATTAAAAAGTTTCACCCGAAATCTAATTGCGGGCTTGCGTGCATGACACGACGTCAACGATGGATGTCTTGACATGGTATCATTAGAAGCTTTGGGCTGGGCTATGGAGTTGCAGCGATGGCTGCCGGGCACGTAAATCAGCAGAGTGCGAGTGTATCTATGAGTTGTTCGCACAAGCACACACACATCACACGCCACACACACAGAGTGCGTATCTGAGGCACAAGTGAAAGTTGTAGGCACAGTAAATCAAATCTAATAAACTCGACAATAAACATGCGCACATAAATCTCGGTAGGCGGCACGAACGAAAAACTGGCAAATCAAGTTGCAGGCCAAACAACTATGCACACACACACACACATGCAGACGCACATGTACACTAACATTGTATCTGTGAGATACAATACTTATGGCTTGCTAAAGCAACAGCCCGAGCGTGTTGTATAAATAAATAAACGAATTTATGTTTTCACAGCCAGCCTCTGTCTTTTGTGTGTGTGTGTATGTGTAGCATATTTTTTTATGCACATATTTATATTACATGACCACTTTTGCGGACGAAGGATACGGCAGCCATATGCGGCAGATAGTGTCAGTGCGTGAGACACTCAGGCAAATAACTTTAACATAATTCACTTAAATCTTTTTGGTTTAATCTTGAAAGTATTTCACCCACACACACACACACATACACATACAGGCAAACACAGACACACAGTCACCCGAGCACTAAGCGTTTCATTCACACAAACACAGCCAGACAGATAGATAGACTGACAGACAGTCGGACAGACGGACGGATGGACTGCAAGTCCTGACAGTCAAGTACATTGTATTCTTCACATATACCCATACAGACACACAAACAAATAGACACACACATGCTTCGCCCCTTAACTGTAACTGTATCTCTATCTGCAGTAAAAATGTATCTGCTCCGTGTAGCTGTGTGTAACTTCAACTTTTGGTGCCAAAGTCAAAATGTTTTCTTGTAATCTCCGAAAGTGTTGTGTCAATAATCACCCAGACCTCATATGACCCTTAGCCCGAGGCATTCTGATTAGCAAAACAGAAGAAAATGAAAGAAATATTTTAGAAAATAACTTTGAATGCATTACATAAATTCGGTTTGGAAATGCCAACAAGAATGCCTGAGAGTTAAGTTAGAGATAAACTGGGGCCTTCAAGCAAATGCAAGTTGAGCGCGGCTCGAAATGTGCATTATGGCAGCTATTTCTTCAGTACATGCGGACAAATAAGAATGAGCTATATATTTATAGATTGCTCGCGTCGAATCAAAGCCTGCTTGCTCATATTGCATATATCCAGTCGTATGTTAGAGGCCAGTTTTATATGTTCATGATAGCTATTCGACAAATGTATGAGGACAAATAAGAATGAGATCGGATCGAATCATTAACCTGTCTTGAAGCCTTAGTTTCCCATATTTCATATATCTAATCATATTTGTTAGCTACCAGTTTAATATATATATCGAATATATTTATATGTATATGAAATGGGCATGTGCTATAATTATTTTTGTATTGCTCGGAGCAAACCAACAATTGCAACGATTCACTTTCAACACAATTACAATTGCGCCCGTTCTACTGAAAATATTGCAAGCAGTGCATATTTTCATATAGAACATACGGGCTATATTTGATATCTATCCACAATTTGGTTAGATAAATGCAAGGGCTGGCCCAAGCTATAGATGCTTTGTAGCTGGGTCTTCCTCAAAAGATTTTCATATTAAACTAAACAAGTTTTTTAAAAATAATTAGTTCAGTTCGTGCTCGACTTCGTCTGTTTTTGGCTTAAGCTTAGCTTTATAGTAATATAAATAGAAGCCCGGCTTCAAAATCGGTTTGTTGACTTGATCAGATATGAGTACCATATATAATAAACGTATATATGCATAAATGTATATATAACAATGTGTATGCATAAATATGCAAATTTAAGACTGCAAAGTACTTAGGGGGGGAGGGGGGTTAGCTGAATGTTGAAATAATTGTACATCTGAAAAATATTGCTTTATAATAGAGTTGTGCAGTCAAGCGTAATGCACTTTATTTGAAATGCCTTTAATCATTTTCTTCGCTTAAATTTTATATTATTGGCTCGCTGCCATTGGAAGTTATCATCAAATGTGGGGCCTGTATGTGTTTTTGCTGTTGCTGTTGTTGTTGTTGCTGATTTTGTGGTTGCTGTTTGTGATAAAATCCAATTATAACATATTCTATTAACTTAAAAGCTTCTTATATTTATTTAATTTGTTATTGTGGCTTGGCTCGTTGATGTGCGTGTTGTATTTGCAAATTCGGTTGATGTTAGTTTTCTTGTCGAATTCCAGTTGCCAATTATGATTGTTGTCGTTGTTGTTGGTGCTGTTATTGACACACACACACAGGCACACAGACACACACACACACACACACAGCAAGACACACTCACACACACTCTACATAAGTGCTGCCATCAATTAAGATGTCTTTTGGGAGCTATGCGTCTCCGTCTCCGTCTCCGTCTTCATCTGCATCCGCATCTTGGCGTCGTCCCCAATTGCTGCGCTCTCTTTTGAAAATAGTTGACATATTACTGTGAGACTAAATGTCTAATTGTCTGACTGACTGGCTGTCATATTGTCTGGCACATTGCATTTATATGAATATCCATCTCCATTTCTAAGAATATTTCAATATTCAGCTGCACTTTTCGGCTCACCCGCCAGCTCAGTCCTCCTCATCCACATAAGCTAAATTTCAATTTATTAGTACTTAGTACTTCTTCGACTTATTATTATTGTTGTTGTTGCTGCTGTTTTCTCCTCTGATTGAATTGTTATGCAAGCAAATTAAATCGATCTACTTAAAATTTGAACGAAGTCCATTATAGCATTAAGCTCCACAGCTTCGATTCTGACCGGCACAACAGGGCGTATGCTTAATAATTTCGATTGGCCTCCGTTTACATACGGAAAACATTTGAGATTTAAGCCTCAAAGACAAACATACAGCTGCTTAGCTAATAAGCACTCAATTTATACTAGAGTTTGTTAACAGATTGTGGTTTTTGGTACTCAGGTTAATATGCTAAGTGGAAATTGTAGATACAAATAACTATTAGCTTCTTCAAGTCCCTGCCCAGAAGTGAGCCAAGCCGTGCACAATGCAAGAATGCACCAAGTAGACAGCGTAAAGCATATATGTATTGCAAATATATTCCCCAAATGCTCAAGAGTTAGTATTGGCTGTTTTATTTGTCTTTTGGTTTATGTCCATTTAAGCATAGCTTAGTAGAATCGTCTTATTATTTATATTATAATACTCTGTATCTATATTATAATACTCAAAAGCCGAGTCGATCTAGACATGTCCGTCCATTCGTCCGTTTGTCTATTCTTCTACCAACTCTATTCCTATTCTTTTACCAACTCTCTTTGGCTTTAATGGTCATCAAATTTGACATGAAGCTTCTGGAATTGTATATATAGGTCAAGTATTTTTGATTTTAAAGCTACAGCCTAAAAAATTAATAGCTAATTTAATATATTATTATATATTTCTACTGGAGGAGGTTATGCAAGCTTCTGAAATCCATTTTATGCTAAAAATATTCTCCTTTTAAAATTCAGGTTAAAATCTTTTTTTGGCTCAACTAACTAACTCTCGTAGCTTTTACAGAATTTTCGCTGTTTTATTTGCTTCAAAATAATTTACATAAAAAATACAAAAAAAAAAATAGAACATTACAATAAATTATGGTCTAGAGTTGTGAGTCGAATGAGTAAATGCAATTCCTGGCCATTTTTTTTTTTTCAAAATTTTGTGTGTATCGGGCTCGCGCTCACAGATACTGGACACGGCGAATGTTCTTGGCGAATGTCCTCAGGGGATTCCGCATTGGGAAGCCGTCATTGACAGCTGCTGTGGAGACCGCGGCGACTCCGGGACGTTGCCTCAAGCGCTGGCCGAACAGCTGGAAGCGAGAGTTGTTTATTTGCTGCGCGGAATTGTTGGCTGGCTCCTCGATCGCATCGTTAGACTCTGGCTCCGGCTCCTGTTTGTCAATGGCCAGCGTGGCGTCATCTTCGCCCTCCCGAATGGGCACTGCTCCAGTGCTGGCCGCAAGTTGTCTAAACATGCCCAAATTGAGCGGCACATAGCCGACCGCATTGTTGCCCAGGGTGATGGGCACCAGAGGCATACCAGCACCCAGACTGCTGAGACCGCCGAGACCGCTGAGACCGGCCAGACTGCTGATGCCACTGATGGCACTGGCACCACCAAGGCCACCAAGACCAGCAAGGCCGACGCCAGAGACAGCCACGTCGTCGCCATAGAGGTCCGCAGCGTTCAAGTCGATCAGCTCGTAGGGCAGCTCCTGAGCAGCATCCTGTCCCTGACGTGTTTGGAAGTACTGCATGGGCAGCAGCTGTGGAGCACGGAGCAGTCCAGATCCAACGATACGTGCGGCAGCCGCTGCGGCCGGAGTAGTCAGCAGATTGGTCACATTGTTGTTGTTAATGTTCACCGTGGTTATGTTCCGCCACCCATCGCTGGGCGAGCTGGTGTTCTGTTGCCTGAGGTACTTCATGTGAAAGAAGCGCGGCTCATCCTGGCTGCTGCTGCGACTGCTGGGATTGAAGTAGCGCATCTGCTGTGCCGCCGCAACGGGTGTGTTTAACAGAAGTAGCTGCTGCATCTGTGCGGGCGTCAGTTCTGCAGCGGGCAACAGATCCGCATAGTCCAGTTCCAAGGCGCCGCCGGCGCCGCCACTGCGATCAGCCTCTGCCGCCTGCTGGCTGCGCTGCTCCTCTGCATAAATGTTCAATGCCAGATGCTTTGGCTGCTGCTGTTGCTGCTGCTGCTGATAGCGGGCAAATGCCGCACGTTGTAAGTTGGGGCGTCCGAAAGGCGTTTCAAAGTACTCATCGTTCGAGTTGAATGTCGTATGCCACAGCGGCAGCCCGAACAATGCTGTCTGCGTGGGTCCCGTGCTGGTGGCACTTGTCTGCACACGCCGCTGCCTGCCCACATTGGCCGCCCGGCCGCTGTCCAGGCCCAGGCAGCTGAGCAGGGCCAGCGCCAACACCAAAGTACGTCCCACTTGCATTTGCATCATTTTGTTGCTCCTTGCTGCTTGCTGCTTGCCACTTGCTGCTTGTTCAGTTGATGGCTCGAAGTGCTGTCTGCTCAGTCCAGGTCGTCCGGCTGGCTTATATACTTCTTGGCTGCCGAGCTGCTCCAGCTGGGCAGGCTAATGAGCGCCATTTATCCGTCGGTTATCGCGGCCGCTTATCAGCTGGGTCGAGCGGTCGCAGCCGCGGCCGCGGCTTTCATCGCGATAGCCCAGAGAGCTCATTAATTTTGCTTCGCAAAACTTTTGTGCGATCTTAAGCTGCTTTAATATGGCTACCAAGAACTTGACGCTAATTGCGGAGCACCTCACACCATTGATAGCATTTGCGAGCCACTTATACACTTATATATAGATGATCCTCAGCTAATTACGTCATTAATGAACAATTTATAACTGCAAAGCGCGTTACTTATACCCCTTTCCGCCCACTCAGCCCTTTGAAACACAATTTCTTGCAGCACTTGCTTCGTCTCCTGTCAGCTGGCAGCTGGCTGCATTTGTTTCTCTGTTTGTCTGTTTGGCCGGAATAGCCAGCGATTTTTCCATTTTGCCTACTGAAAAACGTAGTTATGTATATTTTGCTGCACAGGCTGCAGCCCCCTAACCCCACCCCCTTCTGCATCTACCTTACCCTCAAGCTATATGCCAACCGACAATTTTTATATGCCATTTTCATGCAAGAGCTAACGGATCGGACTGGTGGTGGAAAGGGGGGGGGGGGGGGTTCGAGCAGGCGTGTGGTTACTTCTCTTTTACTATCTCCACCCTCCCTTTCCTTCCCTCCCTCTCTGGCTCACGCTCTCTTTCTGTCTCTCGCACTGTTTGTCTTGGCCCAATGTGTCAAAGTCAACTTGGTAAAAAGTTTGCTTTTTATTATTTCGTTGCCTTCATCGTCGCCGTCGTTGGCACTTTTTGAACTTGCCACTTGCCGCTCGCCGCTTGCCGCTTGCCGCTCGCCGCTTGCCACTTGCCGCTCGCCGCTGAGGCTGCCTCCGCTTACGGTACACCGACCGAGCGAAAATATTATAGCATAGCATACTTTCCGGCGCTGGCCAAAATATGTACGAAAACAGTGCTCACTGAAATTGGGCAACGAGTGAACCCAAATAGCAAAAATATGATGGAAAAATGATATCAAATGGTGTATGCACGACTTCCAGATACCCTGTACAGAGGCAAGTACCATGGGTGAAAGTTTTTGGTTTCGAAGAAGCTTTTGGGTCAGTTAAAGTAAAGGTAAGCCTTAATTAATTATACATTAATTTATAATAAAATTGATTAATTATAATTAATAAATCAGCTTTAAGGTTATATTAATAATAAAATAGAGATCATTTATTGATTATTATTAATTATATTACTGATATTTAATATTATTATTGGGAAAAATGTGTGCCAGCCCGACTGAACATTAAGATACCCTTTCCATACAGATATATTCTTCGAGTACTGCGTGGGTGCATCATGAGCGTGTTGTTTGGGGGCGGGCGTGGCAAGAAAATACTATGCCATAATACGATTTTACCAGCGGCGTCGACTGCACTTACAAGCCGCTGGCCGCGACCGTGCACCGCCTGGCCCACACCGCACCTCTCCAGCCCTCTTGTAGTTTGCGCACTTTGCGCTCGCGTTTCTTTTCTCTTCTCAAGCAGTTTTTTGTCGCAATAAAAATTTAAGTCGATTTTATGGGCACAAAAAACAAGTGGAAAGCCGAAGTCTCCGGCTTGAGTTGTGAGTTGTGAGTCCCGCGGACTGAGTCCTGAGTCGTGAGTCCTGTGTCTGGAGTCTTGAATCGTGGCATAAACTCTCCGAATGCAAAGCAAAGGCAAAAATTACAGTGCTCGGGCAAAAAGTTTCATTTCTCTGGCGATTTTGTTGTCTCAACTTTGCATTCATATGCTAGCGAGCGGGGGGTGGGGCAGGGCGGGGCACAGTGGCGGCCGCAGGCGGGCGGGGTCGTCAAAAATTGGAAGGTTTATTTAAATTTCAACTTGTTTCGAAAACGTTTAAAAAGTTTCCGCTACTAACTGACTGCTGATAACACAAAGTATCTCCGACCCAACGCCGCAATCATTCCGCTGCCATGCCCCGACCCACCCCTCCACCTGCTGCGCGACGCCCCCGGGGCAAGTTGAAGCAACTGGCAAAGTTGATGCGGCTTGTCCTCAGCCAGTCGAATGCTGGCAAAGGGTTGCTCGGTGCGTGGGGGTTAGGGTTTGACAAAATTAGCACAAAATATTTTATTTACTTATTTTAAATGTATTTTCATATTATTTTTAAAATGTTTTCTGCTCCTGTGAACTGAGTCTGTGCGCTTCGTGGGACAGGCTCCTGGCTGGGGCTATAAATAAGATTGTGCCCCCTTAAATATAGATATAATATACGTCAGAACGATGAGCTGACACATGTGGTGGGCCGCCAGTCAATCAAAATCCGAAAGCCCCATCCTGGATGTGGGTCACAAGCCGGCATGGACAAGTGTCTGGCCTGCCTATGTGAAATTGATTAGCTCGGCATTGAGCGGGCATTGTGGAGAATACAAATGAAATAATGTATTCTTGTTTTCTTTTGGAACAATATATTCTACTTATTCTTATGAAAAATTACTAATTATTGTTTAATTGAAAAATGAAATGCACGACAAGATTCAACTGAAAAGTTCGCATCAATACAGTTCTATTTTTATTTTATGTGCTCGCTTTATTTTATATATTTTTTTAATTATAGTACAAAGTTCTCAGATCCAGCTAATCAGTCAGACAATCAGTTAATCTGTCAATCAGTCAGGACAAACAGTTTAATATAAATTGATGTGAAGGCGAGCTTTCGGTTTAAAAGTGCAAATCAAATGTTATAAATAGCTCCTCTTGGAACCAGCCAAATCCTACTCCAGGCTCTACCCCATTCTACTCCTTTCAAGGAAATCAACATGACGGCAGCCTGGCGTTAGTCGGTCTAAAATTTCGAATAGCTTGTATTAGTTATTTAAAATGTTGGACAATGGCAAGTTGGGTGAGTTGGCAAGTCCGTTGATCTGGCAACGCCCCTTTTTACCCTGACCATATGCCGCTCATTAGCAGCCACTTTGGGCTTGACACATTCACACAGGCGCTGGCACAAAGAAGATGAAGACGCCGACGTGGACGCACATCAGCCTGGTAATGGGGATGAATATGTCCGGATCCAGGACAACGACGATGACGATGACGATGAGCTTGAAGCGTCTTCGGTCGTCTGTTGTCGCCAGCGTCAAAACGAAGTGAGTCGCAACTAATTTCAGTTTAATTTGTGTCAGTTTTTGTCTTAGCGCTGCCGCTTTTCTTTTCACACTTTCCCGCTTTCCCGCCAAGACGACGTCGTTACTTATTATCCTTTGGCTTCAACGTGCGACGTGTAAATGCTGCTAATGACGTCGTCGTCAGGACACAAAAGGCTCAACTCTGAGCGCTTGGCGCTGAGTGCTCATCGCTTAGCACTCAATGTGCTGTGCGGAATGCCTTAGCCGCTTTCCCACCAACCAGTCGGACTGACTGACTGACTGTCGCTCTGTCGTTCTGTCGTTCTGGCTTTCTGTCTGTCTGGCAGCGACTTTAATGACTTCCTTCTTTAATTTAGCGAATTTATTATTTTAATTTGCGCGCTTTACGTTTTTCGTGGCAAATTCGCTGGGCGAATTTTCGGTTTCGATTTCGATTTCATAATTAGGGCTCCAAGTTGAAGTCATTTTTGGGTTGCCAGGGGCAAAGACAAGCCCTTAAGCCAGAAAGCTTCAAATCCAAGCCGCCCGACTGCCTCACGATGCCATCGCATCCGCAGCTTGCAGCTCGTGGCTTGCGGCCCCGCAGCCCGCAGCCACCCCGCATCATTCATCAGCAACATAAACCGCCAGCGTCCATGATGTTAATGCGCTTATTTTCATGTTAATTACCAACAGACAAAGCAGCTTCATCAGGGGCCATAGTTTGGGCTGGCCGAGCAACATGGTCGGCAGGGCCTTTGACGAGGACCGCCCGCTGCCAGTAGATGGCGCTTCACTTTGGCTCGCCCGCGGGCTAAGCGACCTGGTGCTCAGATTTTTGGCAGGCGATTTAAATAATTGACAGATTTTCGCATTTCGCTGAACGCCGCCGGGCGACTGTTTTTATGTATTTCTCGTTCGCCATCTTGTCAGCCGTATCGGCAGGGGGTCAATGGGTTCTTCAAACAGCTCCACATCATCTCGCTCTCTCGCTCTCGCTCTCGCTCTATCTCTTTGTTTTTATCTCCATGTGCATCTTAAATTTCATTCTCCACTTCTGCTTGGTCCCCGCTTTGTTCGCTGCCACATTAAACTGTTTTATCTTTATGAGATTATGTCTGCTCTTCCCTGCCTCTCTCTTTCTCTCTCTCTCTCTCTCTCTCTCTCTTTCTCGCTCCCTCTTTCTAATGTGTGTGCGTATGGCAGACAAACTCTTTGCCCAAAGGATTTGCGTTTGACAAAGTTAAATGCACGTTGCGCCCAGGCACGCAGCAACAAGCCTCACTTTCCCTTATCCCCTCCACTTGCCGCTCTCTTCGTGGTGCTATTCCCATTTCTGCTCGCCTTCATTGTTGCCTGCTCTATTCAATATTGGTTTATTGGCCAGTTGAGCTTTTCCCAACGATTGGAGCTGTTTAACCCGAAAGCAGCCCTAGGTTATGGCTACACCTGATAGTTAATGGTTATCAGGAGAACGTAGAACGGCAGCTGCTCGCTAGGAATTGGGAACTAAAATAGTTTAGAGATAGTGTAGAACTATGTATACATATTTATACAAGCCAAATTCGAGCCTCTCAAATCGATACTTTTCGATTTTGAAAAAATTGAGGCACTACAAAAGCTTGTTTAATATTCAGAATTTATAGAGCTAAGTTCTTATAGCTGGACTTAGCTGTTCGCTCCGATCGAATATGCATATGCACATATACTCTATAGATTTAACGATATTAAGCTAAGAAATCCATAATTCCTTAGGTCTAAGGCATATTGATGTGTTAGACAAGCTTTGACTTAGGCTGTGCTCACATATGGTGTGTCTGGCAACGCTACGGCACAACTTTTGATTGCCTAGCAGCCCTGTCGACTGACTTAACCATAAATGGCAACTGCATTCGAATTTGTTTATGCATTTTATGTCGACTTTGCCACCTTTGAGTGGCTGTAGTCGCCACAGTTGGGCCACCTGGCGCAGCCAGCGATAAAACCCACACATACACAACGGGAGTAGACGCAAAATACTATGCAACACACAGACACACACACACACGCACAGCATCGCACAGAGGCGCTGACAATGAGCTGCAGCCCCGGCGTGCAAAAACAATGAGGTGATAAACTTGAAGGCTCAACGCACAACAACGACGGCAACGACAGCGACCCGACGGCGACGCGACAGCGACGTCGACGTTAGCGTCAACGTCAACGTCAACGTGGAAGTCAACGTGGCGCACATTTTGATGGCACCTTGGAGAGGCGAAGTCATAGCGAAAACAGAAGTGCAGCAGCCATTTCTGGTCGAGATCGGGCAGAGGTATGTCAGGGGTATGTCAGGGATTGTTCTACGGATCTTTCATTGCGGGGCAGGGGTAGATGGGTTGCGTTGTGGCTGGATTGCATGGGGCGGTGTGTGTTGGTGTTGTGGGCATTCGTGTGCATGCAAACAACAAAGGAAAATCAGCAGGCGACTTGCCTTTATTGTTGTTGTTGTTGCTGCTTTTGCAAGTTTTCATGCAGCCCCCAGACGTTGCGCGCGCGCCAGTGTGCGTGTGTGTGCGAGCAAGTATTTCTTTTTCTGCTCTTTAACGTTTTTCAAAAAGAAGAAAGTTGGTTGACTTTTGAATGACTTTCTGGCGCTCGTCGGGGGGGCTCACTGTAGTTGTAGTTGTAGTTGTTGCTCTTGTTGCCAATGTTGTATTTGTTTGTTTTATGTGTTAAGTGCGCTGGGCCCAAGCGCGCAAAACTCTTCTGCTTCTTGTTGCTTGTAACTGACGCTGATGCTGACATCGCAGCCCAAAAGCCATAACCCTCAACCCCCAGTCTGCGGGCTGCGGACTGCGGGCCCGCAACCCACAACCCGCAATCAACAACTTGCAACTCGCAACCAGCAGCGCGCAGCACGCAACACGCCTTCGCGTCTCCGTGTCTCCGCACACAGAGCGCACCCTCATAAAAGTGTTGAACAAAAAGTCGCATCAAGTAGAGTCGAGTCGCAAAATCTAGCTACAATTAATGTGACAAGCTGCAGGGGCAAGTGATCTGCGGTCTTACAAAAGGAACATCCTTTGTCCTTGATTGATATGTACTTTTGAGTCTAATGCTGCCATATAGCTTAAGAACACATCTATTATGTGTAGCATAAGACACATTGACCAAATCTTTCAATAGCGTCGAGACCAACAAAGCCGTCTTTAATTATCTGCCACTCCAAAAAGTATGCAACATATATTTCTGCGGAACTGTTGCAAGTTTTGTTGGTTAGCTTTAAGCAATTAAATAAATGATTAGCTCACTAATGAATAATTAATTTTAATTTAAGGGGGTTTGCTGAAAATATGTGTCTTGTGTTGTAGAAGTTTCAATCTTGACTAACATGCAGATCGGCATGTTACACTATCAAGCAAAATTGAATTTTTATGCTGCAAAAGGAATGTAGTTGCTTTAATAAAAAAAATGTCTTTTCCTTTCGTTTCAAGACTTTTTTTAATTATCTCTCCTTCAGAGTTAAATTAGCAGTGAGTGGTTGTATTTCACAAGTCCTTGCGCACAGCTTAACTGATTTTAATAATCAATATGTTTTGAGAAAAAATAATACCTAACAATTTTGTGCCTCAAAAGTTTTTAAGCTTTCAAGAATTTTTAGAATATCTTAATGAAGATAAACTGACATAAAATAGCAAGACAGCTAATAATAAAAACTGTATTAAAGAGCCAAAAGAATTGTATTTGGCACCCAGCAGTAACATTTTAAGATTCCCAACAAAAGCGCTTGAAGCTCTTAAAGCTTTAAGTGAACTTTAAACGTACTTTAACCAAATAACAAGAATTGTGTTGAATAGCTGCGTTCAGCAAGCAATCCCTATAGGGTATTGCTGAGTGGAATTTGTTGCACGACCGAGCTATTTTAATTACTGTTGCGAGCTGCATATTGAGCTGCCCCCGCTCCGCGGCCGCAACACAAAGTGCATTTTTAATTTGCCAACTGGACGCTACTCAAATACAAAGAGAAGCAAATCCAAATGGAGTTCTAGTTGGAGACGAAATTTGAGCTTTTGGTTAACATTTTATTCGTTTGTCACTGCGTTGAAGTCAAAACTGGGGCATTTAAGCGGGAAAAGGGGAAATCCCTGCCAAGTCCTTGCGCAGTCCTGCCTAGACCTCCTCGTCATCGCGGATGATATGCACTTGCTGGCGGCGGCGCTGCGGCTGCTGGCGACGACGGCGCTGCTGCTGCTGCTGACGACGACGCTGCTGCTGACGGCGTCGCTGCTGCTGTTGCTGCTGCTGCCTGTTGACCGGACGGCGCTGTCCATTGCCGCGCCGCTGGTTGGGACGACGGCGACGCACCTGCTGGACGCGGCGGTTGCCATTGCCATTGCCATTGCGGTTGCCGTTGCCGTTGCGTCTGCGAATGCGGCGACGCACTCCGGCGCCGTTGCCGTTGACGCGGCGACGCTGCTGCTGGCTGGCGCCCGTGGGTCGTCGACGGCGTCGGCGGCGCTGCTGCTGCATGTCCTGCTGGCCACGTGGCGCATTTGGTGTGTCGTTCGCCGCCTGCTGCTGTTCCTCTTCAGCCGGTTGGTTTTCAGAGGGTGGCGCCTCGGTTACCTGCGGCTCGGCATTGAGCGGCTGCACCTCGCCCACCTTCACATTGGTCACCTGGTCGCAGGGCACGTCGCTGTAGATGACCACGTTGCCATAGTTGCAGACTATTTGCTCCTCCTCGGCTCCCTCGGCACCCTCGGCCTGACGTGGCTCGATGCGGCCTATGCCGCGTTTGTCCTCGATCTCGTAGATGTTGCCCGACTTGGTTATAAAGCCCGTCACCTGCAGCGGCTTTCCATCCTGCATCTGCACAGTCGACTTCAGCTGCTGCGCCTGTTGTTGCGGCTGCGGCTGTGACTGCGACTGGGGCTGTGTCTCCACCTGAGCTGCCTCCACGCTGACCGGCACTAGATGCTTCTGCTTCATGGGCGGCGCATTGATGATCATCAGCGGTTTGGTGGGCTTCGCTTCCGTTTTGGGCGCGCTCGTTGGCTTCAGCGTGGAGCTGAGCAGCGGCGCTGCCGTTGGACGCAGCTCATCCCGTGCTGCAGTCGGTCAGAGAGGGAAACGCAACGAATTGTCAGATTTAGTGGGTTTTGCTCGTGCCAAAGGGGATCAAAAAAATTTACCGCTCACCAGTGATAGGCCACTGGCCAGGGCCAAAACCAGGACCAGCAGCGATTCTATCGATAGCATTGTCCACTTCATTGCTTGCTTTGTGTGTGCCAACTGAATCGGGAATCAAGAAGAGCTGCCACTTATATCAACTTGTTCCGACCGAACGATCGGTGCATAAATCATTAGCTAACGGCTCTTTTGGCTTTTTGCTGATCCGAGCTGCGAGCTGCGAGCGCTTCTCTGCTCTTCAGCCAATCTTGAGGCTGCATAATTAGCCACATATTTGGCCCTCGGCCTCAGAGTTCAAAGCACGTCTAATGCCGGGTCGACCCATTTACGGCAGCTTGCCAAACAGCCATAGCCGTAGCCGCAGCCACAGCCAATTTCTGCGACTCTTGGCCAGAACTCTCGGCTTTCTATTGCGCGCGTTCTGGGCAGAGTTCAATGCCTGAACTCTGGCTTCATTATCATTTTTGCCTATTTACCAATTTCTTGGCATTTTTTCTATTTATTTATTTATATCTTTTGCTTTATTTTTTCGCTGTCTTGTTTATGCAAATTAGTATTTCGTTGATCGACTCGCGACTCCCGTCCGCGGCCAAAGCTAATTTCATAAACGTGCTTTGATCGTGAAATGTTTGACTAGTTGACCAGGTCTAAATGATGAAGCTTAGTAGCCAAATCGAGCTGAAGCTGGTGCTGATTCAATATTAATATGTGTACCTGAGCTTGGCACTACTTACATATTATGTTGCTGAAACATCGTTTATTTATTTTCTTTTAGTTTTATTTGCTTTAAGACGCAAATTATATTGATTTACTGGCATTATGCGAAATGTGCATACACTTTAAATTATTATTAACTATTGTGACAAGGTCGCGTAATAAAAAATAATTACAAAGTAAACACAAATTGGCTGCCAAATGAACTTTACAAGCTCACAACGAATTCACGTTAATTATAAGAATTCAAAATTTGAAATTAAAAACTTATGTCACAATAAATTTAAATTGAAATGAAATGTCAAAATTTCTTAAAATATATGAAACTTCATTTATCATGAGAGTTTTAGTTTCCGATTTGGCTGATCAATATAAAAAAGTATGTTTATATACCTATATATGTATGTGAAAATAATATTGTCAGCTATATTAAATTCCAACTTACATGATATTTAATTAATAATAAATAGAATTATATGCTATGATATGATAAGATAGTAGTGTGATAGAAACTTAAACAACAACGCAGACAGACCGGGTAGATCAGTTAACTCAAAGATATATATATGTATATATATATTTGGCATATTAATGGGCAGAAAATATATATATTTTTTTTTTCGGAACAGAATATGCCCAAAAATTCCGCATACAGAGAAAAAGGGTGGAGTTTTATATAAATTTAACATTTTCAAATAACTCAAATTCTTTTGCACTTTAATGATAAAGTTAGAAATTGGAAACAAAAGCCAAGCCCATAAACCCCTACATAAAAAATGAATAACAAATAAAAACAGGTTCTAAATTGTTATTAATTAAAATCATTCTAGTTAGTATCAATACTTGACCTAGTATACCCTGACCTTTGCTTGAAAATTACAAGCGCTAGACCGTGGAATTGAAACCCGGAAACGTGTAGGCCAGTTTCTTTAATGTGGCTTATTTATGCTTAAACCTCAACGAATCCATTTTCTAATAAACATTCCATGCAAATGCTTATAATATTAATAGCAGCAGATAAATCCATGTACCTGTTGGATTTACCTTTCACCAGAACATGATTCATCAACTAACTTTCGCGTTTATTTTACCAATCAAACGCAGTCAGCATTTGTGACTGGGGTATGATATTATTCGACTGATGCCCGTTAGGCTTGGCTGGTGTCAAATTCTTCATGTTTGTCAGATCAATTAGCAGTCAAAGGTTTCATATATATAGAGATATACATAAATATATATATACATATATTTATATACGCTCTCAACTAGGTCACTTCACTGCCAACATCATGGAAAACTTTTTGCGTTTTTGCGTTAAAATTGTTGTCATGTTTATTATCATTAAAAACTTACAAAAAACAAAAAAAAAAAAATGAAACAAAAGCAAATTAAAATATTAAAAATTGGTGTTCATATTAGTACATGCAGTAAGGTATATTGGTTTAGTGCTTCCTCTGCTCCTTCTGTTTCATTTGGTAGCTGCGCAGAGCCTCGGAGAGCTGCCTGATGCTGTCGTCGCCTTGGCGCTTCTCTTTGCGCTCCTGCTGCCTCTTGAGCTCCTTGCACATCTTCTTTAGCTTCTTGCGCTCCTTCTTTGCGGACTTCTGCTCGCTGCTGTCGTCATCCTCCTCCGAGGAGGAGGACGAGCTGTCCCGCTTGCGGCGCCTACGCAGCTGCTCACACTTTGCGAGCAGCTCCTTCGCCTCCGCGTCTTCATCTTTGGGTGTTGGGCTCGCAGCTTCTGGCTTGGCTGTGGTGCTTGTTGTGGTTGTTGTTGTTGTTGTTGTTGTTGTTGCTGTTGCTGACGTCGTTGTTGTGGTGGCAGTTGTAGACTCTTCCGACTTGGGCTTAGGTGTGGTTGTTGTTGTTGTTGTCGTCGGTGAGGGGCTTGTTGTTGACTCCTCCGACTTGGGTTGTGGCGTCGTCGTCGTTGTCGTTGTCGTTGTGCTGCTCGAATTTTCTTCTGACTTGGGCTTTGCTGTGGTTGTTGTTGTTGTTGTTGTTGCTATTGCCGTTGTCGCACTAGCTGCACTGCTTGGAGTATCCGTTGTTGTTGTTGTCGTCGTTGAGCTCTCCCCTTTGTTTTGCGGATAGGCGCTGCTCGTCCAGCAACAGCAGCTGGCCAGGATTAGGCAAACTACCAGCGTTTCCTTGAGTACTATCATTGTTAATGTTCCTATGACAGTTCAATCAACACTAACCGCCCGGCCGAGCATTGCAAATGTTTATATTGGTGCTTGAGCGCGCATAACTACCCTCCTCTGGCCAACAACTTACAAAGACGTATGTGGACTGGTTTTTCAATAGACATACATACAATTGCCAACTACAAAATTTATTTGAGTTTTATGTTTATTTACGGGGATTTTGTCCAAATGCGCTACGCGAAAATTGATGGCGTCCTCCCAATTGGCAGCGATTTCTCTTCTACTTTTTTGTCGGTGTTAGCTCTACTCGAATTTTCTTCACATAAATATTAAATTAATCAAAAAAATATTGATTTAATTGAGCTTATTTTATGAAATACTTTTTTGAGAGCACGAATTTATGGGTGGAGCGTGAAAGGAACAACTATATGACAGCAGATTTTGGCCTTGCGTGAAGCTTTGCAAGCTTAAGGGAGCTTTAGGTGCGATTAATCGTTGTCACGATTCGAAGTAATATGAGCCTAAAGTTAAAATAACAGCTTACTGGCAATAATTTGTGCATAAATCACCAAGCTTTGAAAGCTTAGGCTTCAAAAGATGCAATCAGCTTTTCTGTAAGCTGAAAGCTTCTTTGTTCACTCTCGATCCAGCCAATATCGTGCGTATATTAAGCTTTTTCAATTTTCAACCTTCACGATGATTTTCTGTTTTGATACGTGCTTTAGGCTGAAAGCTTCTTTTTAATCTCTGGAGCTCTTTGGCAGAATAAATTGAAGCATCGGAAGCACAATAAAGCTTATTACATGATCAATTGATCAAACTAATTGCTTTACAACACTATGATAAATGTCGCTACCGGGCTAAAGCTCGATAAACTCTTTAAGGTTAATCTTTGAAGTTGCTTTGTAAGAAAACAACAAAAGTTGTTTCCGGACTAATGCTCTTCAAACTGCTCAAGTTAAAGCTTTGAAAGCACATTCAAGCTTCAGATTTGATTAATTGCTTTGTAAGAATACAATAAATGTTGCTAGTAGTCAAAAGCTCGACAAACTGGACAGGTTTTCATCTTTCAGCGCTGTCAGCTATGCCGCGCTTTGCAGGTGCTCAATTGCTGCAGTTAAATGATTTGTTTATACATAAGTATAAGCGCGAGATCTCGCCTGTATTTACATTCATAGTTTTTTCTTTTGGTATTCGGATACGAGTTTTTGTGCCTGTGTGGGTTTGTTTTTGTAATTAACGCCCCGGCTTTGGGCTGAGTTTGTCAGCATTAACTAGTTTTTGCTCTCAAATAGATGAATGTATGCTAAAAAGCTTACAACGACCCGAGCTTATGTTTTACCAATTTAGTTACCAAATTTAAATATGGTTATTATTAAACAACAAAAACACGAATGTGTGTGTTTCAATTTGTAGCTCTTGGCTCAAATTATTTGATGTTAATTTTCGGCTGCAGTGTATGAGAGCATCGGCGTGTCATAGACGATAATTGTTATAGTGTCTTTTTTTTTATTTAAAATTGTTTGTTAATAAGCAGTTATATATGTATGCTTGTGGCTCGACTATATTGCCCCTAATTGCTTATCAATTACAATTGTTAATTGCTTAATGCGCCTGCAAAGTAATGCGGCATTAATGTAAATTGCAACATTTTTAACATTTGGCAGACAGTGCAACAACATCCAACCATGCCGAAGGTCTATCTCAGCGTCAGCCCATTGACAATTACTTGCTGTTTTTAGCCCTATGTGAGTGTGTGTGTGTGAGTGTGAGTCTACAAATAATTGAATAAAAAGCGAGCAAAAAAAAACAACAAATAATTAATAATTAAAAACTGCACGTATAGAAAAGCAAACAGAAAAAAAGCGCACCAAATCCCGACGCAATGCTGATCCTCAGCCGTAAGCAGGTTGCTGGGGCTGAGGCTGAGGCTGAGGCTGGGGCATGGGGCTGGGCGTGGGGTCTCAGCCCATTCGTAACCCTTCAGCAAATGCAACAATTTTAATGAAACAGAGAGAATATGTTAATTGCGTGTGAAACCGCTGCGTCGAGTTGCCAGTCGCTGCGCCTCGTTTTTATTTATTATTATAATTTTCCCCTTTTTTTATATTTTCCTTTCGCTCTTTTTTTTTTTATATATATATATTTAAACAGCACAAATAATGTGTGTGTGTGTGTGTGTGTGTGTGTGTGTGTGTGTGTTTGGGGAGGGCTTGGCACTGGCTTATCAAAGTACTAACCAGAGCTGCAGTTAGAGAAAAACAGCTTTCAGCGCAGAGCGTAAAGTAAATTTGAATTTTCACGAGGAACTAATTCAATTATGTTAACTAGGGTTTCCAAAACAGCAGAAAGGTATCTTATATGTGCATGGTTAATAAAAATGATAATAATTATAACAAAATGCATAATAATAATATGTAGCATTATATTAATATTTAACATATATGAGTTGTCGACTCTCAATCTATAGAAGTCACTCAAACTGGCTTATGGCTATAATAATTTAAATTTGGCCTTGCTATTAGGCTTAACGCTGAGCTTACAGGCAAAAACAATTTCAAACATAATTAAGTTGAATTAAATTTTGTTTGTTTTAGGCAGCTGCCTTAAACTACGACTGATTAAATGACCTGATGTTGCCCAAAACAATTTATTTAACTTGTAATCAGTAAAAAAAAAGTTAATATTTATAATTGTTTTTAGCATATATTTTTAATTATAATTATGCCATTAGAATGGAAATTATGCTGTAAATTATTACGTGAAATAAGCTCAATAAGTTTAACGGATTTTTTTGTTGTAAAGCAAAAACATGTTCAAAGTTTGCATTCAATATGCTGAGCTCTGCGCTCACGGCTAAAGCATTTCGGAAAAGTTTTTAAATTGGAAATAGATTTATATGCATATATTTATAGTTTGTAATGTAGAATAAATTGATTTTTATATTTTATAATTGGCAAACGCATTGCACATTTGTATGCACATATTAAAATGCTGCATTACCATGCATTTCATCAACTGCAAATCCTAATTTGAATTCGGATTTGTCCGCCATGTCCGATTGAGCCTGATGCAAGGGACTTATGTTAAGCGAAATGCAAAGCATTTCCGTGTGCGTGCCAGCTACTGGGTCCTGCCCGCTTGTTGCTTAATCCAAATTATCATCATAAGCGCTGCACTAATGAGCACAACTCAACGTGAACAGCAAACTGCTGACGGGTGTTGGACGCTGGCTGCTGGCTGTTGCCCCGCTGCCTGACATGGCGTAATGGCTAAGACAAAGTTGTCCAGCCAGCCAGCCAGGCAGCCAGACGGCAAGTTTTTGAAGTGGCATCAAGCGCTGGCAGGAGCCACAGGCAGCCACGTTGCGACTGCTGACAAGTGCATTTCCATCAGGATAATTGTATTCGCAAAGAATTTCGCACATTTTGCGACTACTACGTATACACGTATATCACGCATACGCCGCGTCTTCCGCGGCGATCAACTACAGCCAACGGCTGCGAGCAGCTGAATGTCCTGGTTTCTCTTGGCCATGTGCTAAAAAGTGCCTAAACGAGCCGCTGCTCATTCAGCTTCGTGTCGTCTGTGCTAAAAGTTCTGAAAGCCGAGCCAATGCGGCACTGGCGCAGGCGCAGGCGCAGACAGCGGCAGCGGCAGAGGCAGCGACGTCGGCAGCCAGCAATTGCTGTTGCCAGCTAACAGCAGCTTAACAGCAGCGTAACAGCTACCTAACAGCAACATTGGGAACAGTTTTCTGGTGGGTCACTTAATTGTCTGGGTGTGTGTGCGCGTGTGTGAGTGTGTGTGAGTGTGTGTGCCTCTGTTACTACTTCTCATTATTATTATTTTTTTTTGCCTGTTGTTTTTGGTTTGTTTAGCACTCGTGTTGCTGCTCGGGCTTTTTATGCCACATGTCCATGTTTTTGTTTTTGTGTTTGCAGCATTTTGCTTTAATGCGTGTGGCATGTTTAACGGCACTTGATGATGCCAGCAACAACAACGATAGCCACAATAACAATTTCACTGTGATTTGTGCGTCGTCGGCGCCGTCTCCTCCGTCAGGTAAAAACGCCCAAAAGTAGGCAATGCATTTCAATTGCTCGACGCTCGTTGCACTTCATTAAACTCGACATCGATGGCTGCCAGTGCATTTGGCTGTGCTGCCTACCTGCCTGCCAGTCTCAGCATTGAAGCGCGCCACGTGACCTTCGCACGCAAACAAACAAACACACACACGCACACACTTGTCTGAGCTGGAATCGTAGCCGTTGCCTGCGCACAGGACACATCACGTAGCCGTCACGTTGGCACAGAAATACAAAAAATATATTTTAAAAAAATACCAAAACCAAAATGAGCATTTGTACAAAAATCTCTCGAGCTCTCCAAAGGGATTAAAGCGTTGTTATGCCTTTAGCTAGGATTAGAGATCGCTCAAAGATAATATTATAGCATAATAGAGCATGTGGAATCACTATATATAAAACTGTTTGTCCTGACTGACTGCTTGGTGATGGAGATGCACAGAAAATTCCACCCGCATGTGTGAAAAATTCGCGACACACGGTTGAATGGAACTTTTTTGTTTACCATTCGTTTGGCCTCAAAATTATGTTCAGAGATCCTTGTATAAAATAAACATGGTTAAGGCAACTTTAACTGGCTTTCTGAAGGCCCTTTAGTTAAGGTTAGATGACAGTGCTTAAATAAATACAAATAATTCGAATTTTACGCATAACCAATAAAAAAAGCTTCGGTGTAATGTCGAAAGCCATCAAAATGTAAGTTTATACATATGTACATATAAACTTAATTATTCAATTTCTAAGCTTTGTAGACTAACTAGGATAAGAAGGTCTTAAAAATAGCGTGTTCTTTTAATAATAAGGTGATGTAACAAACTAATAAGCCATCTCACAGATTTGGGTAAAAAAAAATTGTAAAAAAATGTTATACAAATTTTTTTTAAATAATTATTAATTAGAAATGAGCCACTTTCTTTTCGTCAGTATTTCAATCAGATAAAAATTCAAGGAAAATGGTAAATTTAATTAATATAACAAAAAAAACCATACCAAAATATTTGAGCCGATCGAATAGATAGATGCAATCACACTCTCATTGTAATTGATAAGTTAGTTGTAAATATGTGAAATATTGTCTACATAGAAAGGTCTCAACTGCCTGGGGATAGCGCAAAAAAAAAGAAGAGCGTGAAATTGAGAGCGAAGCAGAGAGAGAGAGGGAGAGTTAGAGTAGGGGGCTGCCAGGGCAAGCGCAAAATGATTAGGTAATGCAATTTCCCGAGCTGTGTTAGATCCTCTTTTTTTGTAGATTTTCAACTGGCAGAAGCTGAACCAAGTGACCATTTCACCTGCCCATTGTTTTGTCACTTGCAACCACATCACCTGGAAGTGAATGCCAAAAAACAGGCGAAACGAACAAAAAATAAAATAAAAAATTTACCAAGCTTGTGCCTTGTATGGGCAGCATGCACATACACACATAGAGAGTCTGCAGCTGTGTGCATGTGTGTGTGCGTGTTGTGGCATTTTCCAGTTATTTGCAGCATGCTTATAGGCATTTGACAAAACTGTGTCCGAGGTGGGCCTGCTATTTCACGGCTGGCTACCCCCCAGCAGCAACAGCAGCAACAGCAGCCGTAATCTTGGCCAGAACAGCGAGCCCTAGTTTTCAGATCGATTTGGTGGCGTTGTGGAGCTGGCGGGGCGGGCAGTTGTGACTGGAACTGGCCGCATGTTTTGAGTTTAGTTTGAAAAGTAATCGAATGTTATAATTTCCATTAAACTGATTTCCCACGACAAATGCTAGGCAAACAAGCCGAGTCAAACCAAACTAACAGACGTTGCAATCTTGATGAAGGTGGGCGCTGGAGACTGAGGCTGCTGCTGTATGCTGAACGTTGAACGTTCGTCAGGCGAATGGCCGTGTCATACTAATGTACTGCACGTCAGCTAAAAGGAATCGAAAGGCAGCTGGGTAGCCGGGCAGCCAGTTAATGGAAACTTGCATAAAAACCTTCCCGGAAAGCAACGTGGCTCTCCACGGACATGGACCCGGGGATTCGGCTCGCCCTGACTTGCCTCGCCTCGACTCGACTCAACTCGATTTGGCTCCACTCGGTGCGCTTCATCTCGCAAATGAAATATAAATTAAATTAAATTCCAAAAGAGCAAGACGCTTGGCCGGCACATACATAAATCAACAGCTCAAAGTGCAGGCCAAATGTCAACCATCACATCGATTGCCAATTGCATAATACACAACGCTCCTCGCTGCATGCTGCACGTTGCATGCCACATGCTGCACGCTCCACGCTTAAGCCGCCCAACGCACATGCTACATGCCACAAGGCACCAGGCACTTCGCTCAATTCGCATTGCATACTTTGTGGCAACTGCAGCGATCAGCTGGGGCCACAAAAGCAGCTCACTAGGGACGCTGTCAGTGGACGCAGCTGCATGATGAGTAAGTCACCAGTTTCTAGCACTAAGCTTTAATGCTAAACAACAATCGATAGTGGCTTTTACTGCATATAGCGATAGTCGTTATGCTATCGACGCTGTTGTTTTAAGTAAGGGTAAGTTGTTGTTGTTCCTCTTTAATATATGGTCATGGTAATTCACTTCTTTTATTATATTTTCAGTTGTGCCGAAAATAAATATGCAGATATGCAGAACCAAATATAATATTGTATATAACTCACTTGTCAAAGATTGACATTTCCAGCAGTGTTAATAAACGATAAAATCAAATCAATAAAAATGTTATCGATAAGCTTAGAAGAAACTAACTGTCTATTGGCGAGAGCACCATTGACATTTGAATTGTTAGGCGATTTATATCGTTTACGCCAGCGATAGTTTTACTACCGACTTGCAGTTCACTTTCATAATTGATACAGCAATTAATTAAGCTTAAAAGCTCTTGATCTTTGAACTTTGTGGAGGAAACTTAACCTTATTAGCCCTTCAATCCTAAGATTGGAACTGTAAATAATTTTGTAATCTGTAAAATATTAATTTAATTAATATAATTAATTCTAACCACTTAAAAAAATAATTCAGAAAATTCAATGAAAATCGTTTATGTGCCTGCAAACTAAGATAATAATTTTTACTCTAATGCAAATACATTTTCAGCTTTTCCCTCACTTACGCATGAACGCACAACGTGCAGCTTGGCCATGAATGAGCTTCGCCCTGGCGTTGCCACCTGACGTCATTGTAGAAAACCAGCATAGGGCAAAAGCTTTCCTCAGCCGCTCAGTTGACTTTCCAGCTCAGTTTTTCGGCGATCGTCGCACGGCACTTGGCATTTGGGTAAGTTTAGTAGTCAAAAAAGTCAATAAATAAATAAACATGCGGAGGCGCACATAAACATAGGCATAAGTAAAATAATGCTCGAGCTCGGCTATTATTGTGACGGCAAGTCCAATGTTTTTAGGCCGGCTCCGGCGACAAGCTGAGCACCAGCTCTGCTCGGGCTGGGCACACTGTCACCTGTGCCTTATGCAAATCGCTAGGGACAACAACAACCGCAGCAACAGCAGCAACAACAACAAGAGCAACATAATAACAATTAGAATACCCGCAACAGCAGCAGCAACAAACAACTGGCAATAATTTTCACATTTCCGTTACAAATAAAAACCTATTCACTTTGCTAATATGGCCGCAGCGATTCATCCGGTGTTGGCTGCGATTCGGCTGCAGGCGCTTCAAAACTTTCCGCACGCAATGCAATAATTTGCCCGAAGGCCAAGGGTCGCGCAATACTCTAACTGGCGCCGCGACTTTGCAGGCCTTATGGTTAAGTTTGCGTTTCCAAAGCAGTGTTGGTTAAAAAATAGCTTCGACTCTAATCCATCATCATACCTAAACACTGTTCAAATTGTGGGGCTCGTTGATGGAACATTTCAAACTATCTTTACTCTAAAATAAACACATTGTTGTTTGTTAGTCAGGGCTCGGACATATGCATGGCAAGGCTAATCAAGTATCATCAAATTTCCTTCTATATTTTTATCATTCAATTTATCTGAAAACTAAATGGTTTATATTCACATATTCTTAATGCTAGCGCACTCAACAGCTTAAAAGCTATGTTCGGAAAAATTTAAATGATTTTCGAAACTCTTCATTGAAAAAATTTGTGTTCTCTCATTGCTTATATTATATCTCGCCTATCTTAATATACAATATATCTGGCTCGGTTATCGATAACAGTGTTGCAAAACTCTAAAGTGCTGCTGTCAGCGCACACACTAAAATAAACTCTAGCACTTAGCTCAATAAATTTGTGTTTACATTTGAGCATATTAATAAATGTGTTTAACTGTTTGAGCTCTTGAATTCAATTAATATGCATCTATTTACACATTTCTTATCATATATATGCATATCTGGTGCATTTTACCGATAACAGTGTTGCACAACAAAATAGACCGTCACTAAAGCACCGCTGTCGACACACACAGAGCCGCACACATTAATAAATTCTAGCACGTTACTAAACCAATTCGTGTTTACATTTGGAGCATATTAACAAATCAATGTATGTATATCTATAGCTATATTAGCTCCTCAAATCTGTATCTCTCCTTATGCATATCTCTATATAAATATAAATATGTGTAGCTGCTGCAGTCAGAGCATTTTTGCGGCGACTTGTTCGCGCACATAGCTAAAGTTTTGGCTCTCACCTAACCTCTATCTATCGCATTTGTTTATATGTCAGTTAGTCAGTCAGTCAGTTGAACGTCTGGACGTTTGGATGGTTGGACGGTTGGACGGTTGGATGGTTGGTCGCATTTGCAAGTCGTTAAATGCCTTTGTTGCCTCTCATTGTCGTGCTGCACACTTGCAGCTGCAACAGTTTTGCTGTTCTGCTGTTTTGCAGTTGTTGCTGCTGTTTGTTTCGTGTCGCTGGCATTGTCAATGCTTCGACTTCCTTCCGCTTTGGCTAACAAATTTGCGTCGTGCATGCAGGCCAGGCAAACATAATCATCATTATTGCTGCAATCAGCATATTTGGCAGGCTTAAACCGGCTGACGGAGCGCAACCCAGCGATTGCCTGCTGCCTGCTGCCATTCTTATTTTGTTCATCCTGCGGGACACAACAATATATATATATATATATATATATATATATATATATATATGTAACGGGCACGGAAATATTGTAAATTTTATGCCCCTTGCCGTAACTTGAACAGCAACTCGGTTGGGTTTTAGTTGCCGTAGTCGCCATAGTTGTGGTTATGTTTAATATCTGTCATTAAAATAGTTGTTTGTGGCGCAACGTGCGCTCCTCGTGTATGTGTGTGTGTGTGTGTGTGTGTGTGTGTGTGTGTGTGAGTGTGTCCTCCACTTGACTCAGCAGCAGTGACTGCAACAGGAGTAGCAGCGGCAGTAGCGCCAATAAATGCATGCCCCAAAGCCCCCCTCAAGTGCGTGGGTGCTTTCACCACGTGCCTGTGCCGCTTAGGCGCATCCTGAATCCCTTTTAACTGCAACCCCTAGTCACACACACACACACAGGCACACACACACTGGCACACACACACTTAGGCATTATGCAAATATTGTATTGCTCGTGTGTTTCTATGGCATTGCACGATAAGAATCCATTGCGCAAAAATTAATTAGTCAATTTGCATGAAATTTATGTACAAAGCGCGAACAAACGAAACGTATTTTGATGTATTATGCACACATGATGGAGACCCGCTGCCCCCAAGATGTGCGACGGAGGGGGGGGGGGGGGGGGGGCAGACACAGGCAACTGCCTCCCCCAGTCAATGGGATAGTTGAGAACTGTCGAAGGCGGTCAACAAGTCAGTTAAGTTTTATCCTTGCTGTTGTTGCTGCATAAAGGGTTCAGAATGCGAGCTAACTGCTGAGTTATGCTGAAGTATGAGCTTATAAATTACCCACAACAACTAAAATACAAAGACATTTGAGTTATATTAAACACAAATTTGTAGCGAATACCTGAAATTAATTGAAATGAAATTGGAAGTGCAGCAGATGCTAGCTATATATATATACTGAGGCGTATGAACTATCCTTGTTAGCTGTAATCCATTTGCCGCCAATGGAATATTTAAATATATTCGTAATATCTCTAGTTGTATTAAAGCAAAGGTTGACGTCGACATTATCTGCCCAATTTTGTGCCATTGTCTGAAACTTAAACCTCCTACAACCTTTGACCTGCATATTTTTACATAAGAGCGAAAAGTGTGAAAGTTGTCTCCAATGAATTAAATGAATAATGATTTTTGAAAATTAGCTTAAGGCCATTTGAGAATGGAATTTACCAAACAACTCCTTCTTAGACTATATACATAAGATAATTTCGGCTCTCTAGCTTCCACAATTTGAGCTGAGTTTTATATATAGATATAGATACTAGCGATACTTTTTCTAGCAAAAGGACATTCCTTGAATTTGCCAAAGGTTGTTTTTATTTTTAGCATAAAGAGAAGACATGCTAAAGTACTCACGCATCAAAATTTAATATACAAATTTAAATCAAATTAATTTTAAGTCCAAGTACTTATGGCACTTGAGCTGGTTATTAGCTGTGCCGTATATCGGGAACACATACATACGTGTATCTGTACATAAATGTATAAAATGTGTTTTTTGTTTCTGCTCCAAGAGTGCTTTGCTTGCTTTATTTATGTTGAAAATAGATATAACTAGAGGGACACAGTTCTCACATACCACATTTGATAAGGGCAGCTCAAATACTTGCTGGGCTACGATCCCGAAACTTTGCCAAGCTGTTTCGCGTTTCACATAAATAATCAAACCGAAAATACCAAGGCGATTCGACATAGATCTCGCTCGGGATTGGCTCGTGTTCTCCACAATAACACGAAAAAGCAGCCGAAATGTATGTGTGTTAGGGACGCATTAGGCACAAAGTTGGCTGTGATTCAACTCTGAGGGATGTCAACGCAGCAAATAATTGAGACATTCAAAGATCATATTGAAACACACAGCCCCAAGCACAACAATTACAAACAACAACAAAAAATAAAAACAAATAAAAAAAAACTAATAAAAAAAAGTAAAGTAAGTTAAGAGAGAGAAACATATATTGGAAACATATATTGGGGCTTTTTCCTATCCTCTCTCTCTCTCTTAGTCTCTCTCACTCTTCCTCTCTCTTTCTCTCTCTCTCTATCTCCGTCGCACAGAATGGCTATGCACTGGGATGTTAAATGCGACGGATGCGATAAGACGCACCTGATCCACTATCGGTACAAGTGCCTGCGCTGCGCCAATTACGATCTGTGCGCGATGTGCTATGAGAACAAGGTGGAGACGGGACGACATAGCAGCAATCATCCGTTCCAGTGCCTGCTGGATCGGGCCGCGCGCGAGCTGTTCTTCGCCGGCGAGGAGATACCGGATCTGTGCGCCGACAGCTTCACTTGCCCCTTCTGCGGCAAGATGGGCCATGCCGTGAAGGAGCTGGTCAAGCACGTACAGGCCAAGCATCGCGGGGACACCACGCCGGTCATCTGTCCACTGTGCATCGCGGTGCCCTCGGCGGACACTGTACGCATGAACAACCTGGTCAACCATGTCTCCCTCATGCACGGCACGGGCATTTTGCGTATTGGCGGTGGTGCTGGCAGCACACAGGTGCGCACCACGGGCTTTGACTTGCCACCGATCGGACTGGGTCAGGGTCAAGGTCAGGGTCAGGGCCAGGGCCAGGGTCAGGGCCAGGGTCAGGGTCAGGAGAGTGAAAACGCCAGCCATGGGCTACGCAGCCGCAGTCCACCACCGGATCCAGCGCGTTTCGGCTTGGCCACCGCTCAATGGCCAGTGAGCGGTCACAGTCTGGGCAGCAGCGCATCCCAGGAGGAGGACTTCTATCCGGACTCATGGCTGCCGGAGCTAAGCTCACTCAGCGGCAGTATGCACACCATGCGGGACACCGATCTCGATCTGGGTGTCCTAGTCGACCATCCGCAGCAGCTACGACGTGCCACGCCCCTCTCGCTGCTGCATCAGGAGCACCAAAGCCTAAGCCAGCGCCTCAACCAGAGCCCCTCCGAGCCGCCGCATGCAATTGAAGAGGACTTCAGTGACATCGAGCCCGATGACATTGCCGGCAATGAGCCGACCTCGTCCATTTAGTTGATCCGTCCACCGAGGATCGCTGCAATTGCTTGGATTCTTTTTTTCGAGTTTTGTTCAAAATTCATGTTTCTATTGTTACCGCAGGCAATTGTTTGGCTTACCAGCTGCCAAACACTAGACGCGCTCCTTTCTCAAATAAATGATATGCGTATTAAATTTAAAAACTCGGATAACCTTCGACAAGGCGATAATCCATTTTTCTGATTCAATGTCCGATTGATTTGTGCTTGGAATCCTGACTCTTTCGATATATTCAAGAATATTTGGCATCAGTCCTAGCAAGCCCAAAAAATATTCCTTGATTCGGTTCTTGTTTAAAACCAACTCCTTTTCTTGAGGCTTGGACTGTAAATCTAGTTTTAGTTTCAGCCTTGGCTTGGCATATATTATTTAAATTTTAATAAATTAATTCTGTTTTAAATTTTCAGCTGCCCGTTGTACTGAAAATATTTCAAAGCTTAAATATTTTCATATACAGGATGCGGGCTATATTGGATCTCTATCCTAAATTGGCATCTGCCAAGTATAGTTAGATGGATGAGGCCTTTGTAGCTGGGTCTGTCTTAACATTTTTTTGTATTGATCCCAGCTATTTATTATTATTACTTATTATTTATTTATTATTTATTTGTGAAACCTTAGCAATGAACCTTTAACTTATCTTTTTATACCCTGAACCCATTTAAAATGCGAAAAAGGGTATAGTTTTGGTAAATAATAAGAGCTAGAGTCACCAAACTTGACATGTAGCTTTTAGAATATTATATATATTTGCATTTCGTGCTAAAAGAAGAGGGTTCAGGGTATTCCCCAGTCGGGAGCACCCGACTAGAACCTCTTGTTATTTTGGTTATTTGCCTGTTGCTGAGGTAGCTTTCTTATAACTATTATCATAATGTGATTAAACTGTTATAGAAACGGGCTTCTTTTCACTTATTTTGCTGTCGAAAACTAATTACTACAGTAAATGCCGAATACAGCAAAGTTTCATTTGCGCATTTGCCTGCCTGCTCTCCCTCTCTCTCTCTCTCTCTTGTTCTGTGTCGCTATCCTTGTTCTTTTGAAGCAGGTGTGGTGCCTAAGTGTAAGCTACGTTCTCGTTTCTGGCCAGGTTGAAGCGAAGTGTTGCACCCGAATGTCTCCGTTGCCGTAATCGGCTTAGAGGTGAAACCTTTTGTCATTATAAAAGGATTTCAAGCTTGACAACATTTCCATTTGTTGCGACTTGCCACACCCCCCCCCCCCCCCCTCCGTTAGTGTATTCAGTGCAGGTAATTGGGGTAGGGGGGCTGGTTGCTTAGTTAACTTTTAGCTGGCTGCGTCACCGGGTCTTTGATTTTGTTCAAAAAAATTAAGATTCAAAAACCGATACGGTGTTTGTTACCAGTCCCAATTATAAGCTGGTCTTGCCCGGATCTGGCCAAGTTTCAGTCTGTAGGTGACAATCGGTGGTGGGTCAGCCCCTCCAGGTGAAGGGGCTGTGTCTGTGCGTCAGTCAGTGGCAACAAGCAGTTGAGATAAATTGCCAATCGAACTAGATAAAATGAGCTGTGTAAATAGTGGAAATGCGCAGATAGGCCAGGTGGCGCTCTTCGGATGCTTCCTGCGCTGCTGCTTCTGCTGCTACTCCCCCTCCTCTAAGGCGAAACTGAACCATATCAAATCAAATCAAATCGAATCACAACAAAACAAGCAAACCACCTGCCCCCACCCCACAGCCACCGGGCTTTGATCTGTGCCCTGCGTGCCTGCCCAATGGGTTGCCAGATATACAGATAGTCCAGACATGGACTTGGACATGGGCACGGATGTGGATGTGGTTGAGCATGCGAACGCAGCTGCCTGCAGGTCGTTATGTCTAATGAGTATTACGAGACATGCAGACGGACAAGTGGGCCAAAGCAGCAAAAGGAGGATGGTCGGGGGAGGACCTAAGGGGTTGCGCCCTGGAGATGAGCGCGTACGACTCACGATGCTAGCTCTTCTTTCAGTTGTATTCTAATGAGCTACAAGAGACTAAGCAAGTCGCGACTGTCGTGAGTGCTCTAAAGCTCGTGCATGAGTCGTGCACAACCTAAAAACGGATAAGGGGAGGTAGGCGCGGCAGCATGTGGAAGAAGCTTTGTGCTCTACATTTGTGTCGTGTCACGATCTAGATACACGCTCATATCGCGCGTGTCACACAGCTGCTGTGCTACCAATTTGACAGCTCGTGCGTGAGCTTGCGTTTCGTGAGTGTCGTGTCACGAGCCCAGCTGAGCCAGACGCTGCGTCGGCCACGCTCCGCAATGCTACGCATTCATATGACAATAAAAATGAACGACTTTGGTTTTGGATTTTGCGACTTTGCCTTTATCGTCATCCACTCGCCAAGGGTTGGGTCGGATTCGGGCAGCCGGCCTCCCCTTCTTTACCCACAATGCACCGTGAAGAACGCTTGCACAATTTTTAATCATGGCTCGGCCTTCTCGTCGTGGTCATGGACATTGTTTGTGCCTGTGACACATAAACATGCATGGGCAGACCATGTTCCAAGCTCAGCGGCGGGTCTGCGCTTGGGGTAAGGGCCACGGGCTACGGGAACGGAAACGGGTGCAGGACTAGGCCAGGACCAGGCCAGGACCAGGACCAGGACCAGGGCCGGTTTATTGTTGCCGTTTGTATGGCTTTTAGTCCTTTATCTTGTTTCTAACTCATTGGATCGCAAAAACGGTCTCGTGTTCACCTTAATTGGGGTAAACATAAGTTCTGATTGCCCGCCAGGGCGGCCGCTTTTCTATACAGTTCCAGCCTCAGCATAAGCTTTAGCTTCAGGACGCATACTAAAGAGTTGCCAGCGACATTTTGCAGCTTCTTTTCATTTTTTGCTCTGCCTTTTTTACCATCCTTATTTTTAGGCTGTTTTTTCTCTTATTTTTTGGTTGCTTCTTTCTAATTGAACTTGTTCGTGCCCGTCTTCTATTAAGAAATTTGTTGGTTAAAAAGAAATCGTTGCAGCAGGAGAGGCAGAGCCATACCCAAATGGCAAAAGTTGGCTGGTCAAAAGCTGAAGCCTGAAGACGACAACGCTCCAAACATATCCAATTAGATTGGCAGCCAAAGGGTCGGTCGGGTGCTGGGGCTGCCGGATGTGGCGGCCTGAATGCCATTGTTGCCGGCGCAGATCACAAAAGCGAGATAAAAATTGTTGAACGTGTAATTTTTATTTATTGCATACAATTTTTAGAACAAATGACAGACAAAAGGTTGCCACACCAAGTCAGCCGCAGTCGCTGTCGCTGTTGCCGTCGACGTCGCAGTCGACGTCAAGTCTGGGAAGCCAAAAGGGATTGCAAAGCGGAAATTTCATTGCCTACATTTGAGCGCGCGCTCTGTAATATATGCATTTGCGATTGTGTGTCTTTGTGTGTGTGAATGTGTGCTTGTGAGCGAGTGTCTGTATGAAAATTAAATTTTCTACTTCAAGAGCTAAGCGACGAACGGACGGAAACAGCAGCCACAGACCGCATAGGCCCACACCGCAGCCAGTTCCTGCTGCAAACCAGAATTGAAAAAGCGTTTAGGACATTGTGTGTGCGTGTGTTTGTGTGTGTGTGCGTGTGTGTGTGTGTGTGTGAGGGTGAGGGCAACTAAATGATGGGGAAACTATAAAAATTTACATAACAATAATAAAAGCAAAGGCAAAAACGGCGCAAAGTCAAAGAAACGAAAGACATTTATTCATTTCTGTTCTGAAATTAGCATAAAGTAAACCTCGCACACACACACACACACACAGCCATTTACAAGGCGGCATGAGGATGGCAATGCGAGTGTGGAGTGAGGGGCGTGTGTGTGGGTGCTGGGGACGCTGGTTACGCACAATCAAAGCCTTAAGTTCAGGCCCTGCTCGGGCGGTGTGTCGTTTGATAAGCGTGAAAAACGTGCAAATTTTAATAAAAGCAAATGAGCCGCAAAATCATACAAAGCAACAACATTAACAACAAAAGCAACATCAATATTGACAACAATAGCAACAACAGCAACAACAACATCAACCGAGGGACAGGCAAATCAGAGAAAATATATGCTGCAATTTCTGTCTGCTAATGTCTCAACTTTGTCACGATGATTGTATGCACACACACACACACACACACACACACAAACATTTAAGAGACAACGCGCTGTAATGTATGCCACATTTTAAGTTATTTGAGTGGGCGAAAAAAAGGTATGAATGGTAGATTGAAGGCAATATAAAAGGGATAACGACAGTTGTCAACTGCTTTCCCCAACTAAGCATCTGTATCTGCCCACCGACATATGTATTTGAATTGGCATCTGTATCTATTACAAACAAATTCGACAAACTTTATTTAATTTTTAAAGGCCCAATATCTGTTTATTTTCTTTTTTAAAATAGCAGCTCCAATCTAGGAGCATAAAAGTTACTTTTTAAATTTGCATTGAAAATAATGCAAGCCGAAAATTTTTATATATACAAGATGCCGGCTAACTTATATCTTATATCTTATATCTTATATCTTATATCTTATATCTTATATCTTATATCTTATATCTTATATCTTATATCTTATATCTTATATCTTATATCTTATATCTTATATCTTATATCTTATATCTTATATCTTATATCTTATATCTTATATCTTATATCTATATCGTATCTTATATCTTATATCTTATCTTATATCTTATATCTTATATCTTTATATCTTATATCTTATATCTTATATCTTATATCTTATATCTTATATCTTATATCTTATATCTTATATCTTATATTATATCTTATATCTTATATCTTATATCTTATATCTTATATCTATATCTTATATCTTATATCTATATCTTATATCTTATATCTTATATCTTATATCTTATATCTTATATCTTATATCTTATATCTTATATCTTATATCTTATATCTTATATCTTATATCTTATATCTTATATCTTATATCTTATATCTTATATCTTATATCTTATATCTTATATCTTATATCTTATATCTTATATCTTATATCTATATCTATATCTTATATCTTATATCTTATATCTTATATCTTATATCTTATATCTTATATCTTATATCTTATATCTTATATCTTATATCTTATATCTTATATCTTATATCTTATATCTTATA